GTCTTTTTAGAAAATTATTAATACATTCGTCAATATCTGTATAGATTTCTACCTCGTGTTGCCAATCAATGTTTGCTTACTGCTGTTGTGAAGTTATTAATGGCTGCCTCATTGTGAAGTCTGAAGGTGACTTTAGTAGTGTCTTGGGGTAATTTACCAAGAGTTGTTATGAGAAAAGTAGGGTAGTGGTCTGTGGTATTATCTGTAATTATGCTGATTTTAAAGGGATATGGTGTTGGTCCAGATTGTGGTCAAGTAGGGAAACACTAGTCTCTGTAAACTCTTGTAGGTTTTGTTACTGTTGGTAGCAACATACAGTTACTCATTGTGTTTGTGAATTCAGTAACGTGTGGGTCCTGGTCTTGCAGGAGATTTATATTGAAGTCACCTGAGAGTAGTAAGTGATCTTTGTTCATGCGTGCATCAGTTATCATACTTCCTAGGTTTGACTAAATTGGCTAATGTTTGACTGTGGAACTCTGTAAATGTTTATCAATGTGAGAGGTTTTTTGTAGGTATTTGGATTTGAATTTGGCTATTATATATTCCCCAGTTCATCCCTTGTGCAAGTATTAGTGATACATTCTAGTTGGTCTGAGTAGTATATGGCTGTGCCACCCCCTTGTTGGTCTGGCCTACAGTTGTGTATGGCTGTGTAACCAGGAATGGCATAGACATCTGTACTATCAGGCTTTAGCCAGGTTTCAGTTAGTGTAATGATGGACATATTGGCATGTAAGGAATTTAGTAATGCTATGAGGTCATCGTAATGCTTGCTTAAAGATCTGATATTGTAGTTAAAGATAGTTATGTTGTTGTTGGCACTGTTGGCACATTGTATCAAGCTCTGCTTCCTGATGGATGGAAAAGTTGTAGTGCCCATAGTGAGGTAATGACAGGAAAGAAAACAGGAGCTCCCTTTACAAATTGAAACAGAAACAAAAAGTCCTCAATTTCACTAGATGGACCCAATTTTTTTTATATATATATCATTGTCAATGAAAAAAGTACAGTAGGACTCCTGTATCCATGGGAGATACATTTCAAGGACCTGCCGTAGATACTGAAACTGTGGATACCTGGAGTTTACCTGGAGAGGGTTTCAGGGGTCAATGCCCCCGTGGCTCAGTCCAAGACCAGGCCTCGTGGTGGATCAGGGTCTGATCAACCAGGCTGTTACTGCTGGCTGCACACAAACTGATGTACAAGCCACAGCCTGGCTGATCAGGTACTGAATTAGGATAGTAGCAAACCCTATAGTATTTAACTCCTATACATACCTATTATCAAAGATTAATTGATAAATTATGCACAATAAGTAGAGAATCATTCACTTCTTCACTGATGGGAAGCACTTCATGGCTTCTCTTAGGCTTTGAAGAGCTCCCAGCTTCTCCACATTTGTGCTTTGCAGCCATTATTATGCAAAATTAAGAGGTATTTTTGGGTCACAGTTAACCATGGATAACTGAAACTGTGGATACCAAATTAGCGGATGCTGGGGCTCTACTGTATCTATAAATCCCATAAGCCCCAGCAGGGTGGGACACCTATACTCTCACCTGAATTCAGTAAGCACCTTCCCACCAAAACCATAAAACATCCAGAGCAGAAAAATGGAGCTGATGAATGGTGTCCTTCCATTACTGTACCCAGCTGGTAGAACAAGATGAGGACAATCAACACAGAGATGAGGGGGAAATCTGTTGCTGATACCAAGCACAGCAAGTGGAAGCAGCCATGAAAAAAGGGTTAAAATGAATTTTATTATGTTCAGAATGTGAGGTAGTGGTGATACCAAAGGGGGCTTCAGCCTTCCATAATTTCCTTCAGAAGTCCTCCTGTGATGAAAATCATCAACTATTCAATTTATTCTTAGGTATAAATCTCCTCTTGGTTGATAAATTAAACATATACCTGGAGATTGTTTTGGGGGTCAATGCCCCCACATCCCAGTCAATGATCAGGCCTCGTGGTGGATCAGGGCCTGATCAGCAAGGCTGTTGTTGCTGGCCACATGCAAACTGATGTACAAGCCACAGCCCGGTTGATTGGGAACTGACTTGAGGTGCCCGTCTAGTTCCCTCTTGAAGACAGCCAGGGATCTATTGGTAATCCCCCCTTATGTATGCTGGAAGGTAGCTGAATAATCTTGGGCCCCCCTGACACTTATTGTGTTGTCTCTTAATGTATTCATGGTGCCCCTGCTTTTCATTGGGGGTATGTTGCACCACCTGCTGAGTCTTTTGCTTTCATATGTAGTGATTTCTGTGTGCAGATTTGAGACTAGTCCCTCTAAGGTTGTCTAAGTGTATATTATCATGTAACTTTCTTGCCTGCATTCCAAGGAGTACAGGTCAAGGGACTTCAACCATTCCCAGTAGTTTAGGTGCTCTACTGTACTTATACGAGCAGTGAAAGTTCTCTGTATATTCTCCAGGTCTGCAATTTCGCTTGCCTTGAAAGTGGCCATTAGTGTACAGCGACATTCCAGCCTAGAGAGAACAAGCGATATGAAGAGACTCATCATTGGCTTGGCATCCCTAGTTCTGAAGGTTCTCATTATCCATCCTATCATTTTCCTAGCAGATGTAGTAGAGACATTGCTGTGATCTTTGAAAGTAAGATTCTCTGACATTATCACTCCCAGGTTCTTTACTTCAGTTCTTCACTTTATTGTGTGGTTGGAATTTGTTGTATACTCCAATCCAGTTTTTATTTCTTCAAGTTTTCCATAGTGGAGGAATTGAAATTTGTCTTCATTGAACTTTATATTGTTTCCTGAGGCCCATTTAAAGACTTGGTTAATGTCCACTTTGAGATTTGCAGTGTTCTCGATGGATGACACTTGGGTATCTTTACTGAGGAAATGTTTCACCACAAAGTGGCTTCATCAGTACATTACAAAGAAAAATAGAGATCAGACGACTGAAGTAATCAGTCCCTCAGTTTGAGTCGAAGTAATTAGTCCATCAACTTCGATAAGAATACAGTATATGCACAAAGAAGGGGCTTATATACTGCAGACAGGTGAGGTGAAACAGTCGTAGGCAGTGTCACCTTGGATAACTCCACAGGTGGAAGTAGGTCATGCCTATAGGTTAGGCAAAAAACCTTGGGTATCTTTAAATTATTATAATCATAACTAAGCACTAAACCTACATGGGTTATACAGCATGATAACCTTAAAAATAGGTTAGACAAGTATATAAGTGGATATCGATGGGTGTGGGTTAGACCTGCTTAGCATGGGCCAGTAGTGCAAGAAAGGTATAAAATACCAACAAGATGTAAGTTAAGACATAGATGACAAGGAGGACTACTGCAGCAGGCCAGTAGGCCTGCTGCAGTAGTCCTCCTTTCTTACAGTGCTCGTCACAGCATTATGCTGGGTGAACGCTCATGCATAACGCCATGACAAAAATCAAAGGCCTACCATACAGGGGTTCTTTTTTGTCTGTTCATTATGCCGAGTAACAGCCATTAGCATCACATCACAGCCTGCCGCCACATTCCACAGTGACTCCACAGCGCTCACGTGGCTGCCGTGGTGAGACGAAGTGTTGCACTTTTGTCTCTCATCCGCTCCATCTTTTGTCCGGTGCTCCCTTTGGTTTTGGGGCTTAACATGTTTGATTATGGGTAAAAGAAAGTCTTTAACACCTGAAACTATAGCTCAAATCAAAGGGCTTCAAAAAGCTGGGCTTCACAAAGCTGGGCACCAGGCGAAAGAAATAGTGGAGAATGTTGGTGTGTGTGAGTGTTCAGTGAGGACCTGGGTGCAGCGTTTCAAGGCTGGTGGCGGTGTTGAAATACTGTCTGCCGAACTTCAGCCTGGCCCCTTGAAGAAGACATCTGTTCATACCTTAACTGTGTTAAAGAAGCAGTTAGAGAGTACACCTAAGATAACTGCTAGAGAATTGAAAGAAAAGAACCCACATCTTCTCTCAGAGGTGTCTGTAAGAACTGTTAGCAGACATGTGTCAGAACTAGGCTACAGTAGTCACCACCAGGTTAAGAAACCAATCTCCAAGCCACAAAAGAAATGTAGGCTGGATTATGCAAAGAAATATCTTCACTAGAATCCTCAACAGTGGTCTGAAGTACTCTGAAATGATGAAGCAACCTTCACTGTCACCTGTAACCATGGGGGACATGAGTACTGGCCCAGAAGTAGCGACCCGTTAGGCCCACGCTACACCTGTGGGACCACCAAACACCCAGACTCACTCATGGTTTGGGGGTGTTTCATTGCTCAAACTGTTGGTGAACTCATTGTGCTTCCCAAAAATCAGTATATGAACCAGTATAATTACCTGGAGTTATTGTGTGACAATTTACCTGTGGCGTTCAACAAGTGTGGAGCTACGGCTTTTATGCAGGATGGTACACTGTCATATCACCAAATTTGTAGTTCAGTGGCTTAAGGACTGTGAAGTGAGGTTCTTTAATGACTGGCCAGGCAATTCCCCAGATCTAAACCCTATTGAGAACCTCTGGTCAGTAGTGAAACAAAGTTTAGTGGGCAAGGATATCAGTTCTGTCCCACAGCTGGAGGCTGCTCTACATGAGGCATGGAATAATACATCTCCCCAAACAATCAAGAATTTGTGTGAGAGTCTCCTACATGGTTGAGGGACACAATTAAGCATAATAAAGGATGCAGCACCAAGTATTAAAACCTCAGTAACTGTGCAAATATATATATTATAATCTTTCATGGTATGTGTTTGTTTTGGTACGTGTGTAGGGAATGGGCGGCATAATGCTGTGATGAGCACTATGTTCTTTTGAATTTGAGGTGTTGACCAACAATGAGAGTAAGTAAATGTACACAGAAGCAAATAATGTTACATTTTATTGTAGCAACTTTTCGCCCTGCAGGAGCTTAATTAAGCCATAACAGCTTGACAAAGCTCCTGGCGCCACAAAAAAATATCACATTATTTGCATTTGTGTCCATTTACCTAACATTTTGTCGGCACCTCTACCATTATTACTAATGAGAGTAAAACAGGAAGCTTTGTTACTGCACCAGTTGAGCTCAACTGCTCCTCCATGATGTGGCGATCCTCGGGATGAATGACATTGTATATGCTGTTCCCAAGAAGATCCACCTGAGAGATAAACACTGCATGAGAGCCTTATATTTTTTATATTGGCCATCTTGCTGCTGTAAGTGCAAGCTGGTCAGGTCTTGTAACTGTTAACAGGAAAAAAACAATTTATTTACTCAAATAAAACTACTAAACGTGGAATTTTTTCTCTGGCGAGGTATACACAGTTAGGACAAACATGTAAATTTTTAAGACTGTTGGTTGCTAATATGACTTAAGGGTACCATGAGCCACATACACTAAAAAGTACAATAAACTTTCTAAAACGAAACTCACTATCAATATGTGTATAACCTCAACCGACAAGTTGATAAAGGTGACACTTGCAATATTTGGGTATCTTCATTCTGGAAACAAAGATACTGAAACGTTTCACCAGCCAGTGGCTTCAGTTCAATAAAGAGAAGGACGGTAGATGTGGAGGAGTTTGATATAATCAGTCCCTCAGCCCAGAAGCGGTGTGTTCAGTCCATCTTGATAAAAAAAAAAAAGCCACTGGCTGGGGAAACGTTTCCAGAATAAAGATACCCAAATGTTGCGCAAGTGTTTCATAAATCACTATCAATATCATGCTGATATTATTATTATTCCTAAAATGAAGAGCCATTTTCCTGAGAAAAAGACAGCACATTGAAAGTGTCAGCTTACCTGCGTGTGACCGAAAAAGTGTTCGATGGCTTCAGCAACGTATGCCACCTTCCCCGTCGAGGTCACCACCAGCAGGAACCCACCAATCACCTGCAACACATACACTCTCAACACCCCCAATGGAAATAAGTCACTTTGACTGATTTTTTTTGGGGGGTATCCACCCCTCTAGGTTCCTTGATACTGGTGAGAGGGCTCTTGATCTATGGAATTGGATCTGCGTCGAGTTCCCTGAATTTCAGCCTTCCACCCCCCAACAGGCGTTGTATAATCTCTACGAGTTTAGCGCTCCATGATAATAATTTGGTAAGGTATGGTTTGTCAGGAAACAAGACAAGTGTTTCCTGACGCGGGTCTTAGTCGTATGATAACCCGCAGTTGGAGTTTACACTATGTATAATAATTGTACTTATGTGTACCTGTGCCTGAATAAAATTACCTGTACACAGTTTAAGAAAGTGCAACACAACACTGCACAAACACAACACGTCAATCTTCTATTATATTCGTATATTCAAGGTTACCCAGCTAATAGTGTCTAAAATCAGGTTCGCAAACTGTAGGGAACCTTGTATGGAGAAAAATGTGGAATAAATATTTTCCAAACAGGAGGCTCAAAAAAAACGGAATTTTTAAATTTTAACTATTTTCATACTTTTCCTCAAATTATAAAATTGTTAATAAAATACCAATATGCTGTGAGTGAAATTGCTCATAAACCACATATTTTACTTTATTACCTTTCCTGGTATATCATAAAAGTTAAGGAAAAACTTTGTTTTCCTATAACAATGTTTTCCTTATGTTATGAGAGGAATTTTTTTAATCAAAAGAAGCGCTAAACAACGCTATGGAAGAACTTTATGCGATTTGGTCACTTGACCATAACCTATCACTGACGAAACGTCGTCACAAGTTTCTATGTGCGGGTGTGTATTGTTCCAGTTACGGTATCGTGCTGTGTTCTTTATAATATTTCTGTTTAGGCTTATATGATATTCTATTATGTAATCTGCATTTTTTAACTGTCTCAGTACTCTAATCTTTGTATATGTTGGTAGAAATTACCCACAATATTGGTAAAGGAAGTGATTAATTGACATTTACGTTTCAACGTTGTCTCCAGACTTACAGATCTAGTGTAATCAAGAGAGCTAAACCCGAGAGTTTTCAAAGCTCTGGAGAGCTACAACTTTCGCCACAATAAAAATGTTCTTTGCCTAACACTGAATTTTTTGTGTAATAAGAGTCCAGAATTTTTTTTCGAGTTATTGGAGGATTAAACACGCTGGATTATCTGTATCATCTTCGGCTCTTACAAGGTAATACGATACCCACTGCTAGATTTCCAAAATCATGCAAATAAGTTCAGTTCATGCTGTGAAACATTTTAATGTGGAATTTTCCCCTAGTATTTTTCCATGTGAGAAACATATCTTTCTGCAAAAGATTTGTGTACTGAAAGCAGTAGCAGCTCGATCACAACACTGAGGTCCGTGGTTCGATCCCTGGTATGGGTTAGAAACATTAGAACGTGTTTCCTTAAGACACTTATCAGTAAAATGGGTACCTGGGTGTTAGTCGACTAGTGTAGGTCGCATCCTGGGCACAAAACTGGCCTAATTTGCAGGAAATGCTCTGTATAACAAGGGGCTTTATATATAGTTACAGCTAGGCCGGTATACCTTGTACATGTACCTGTACAGATAAAGATTATTATTATTATTATTATTATTATTATTATTATTATTATTATTATTATTACTCCTTCCGCTTATGGTATAAACCTTGGTAATTGATAACGACAAACTGTTTTACAAAGACACGTGAGCAAATATTAGGACATGTTTATTAGAAAACGTTTCGATCCTGTGACCGAAGTGATCAAGGTCCCAGGACAGAAATATTGTTTAATAAATATGTCTTTTAGCTTTCTCACGTATGTTTTTCTAGCACTCCCGCTGATGACTCCCTGACTAGTTCCTGCACAACACTGCCGCCAGAACTCCTGAATTATACATGACACGATATGTAACCTGGTTAATTCAATCATCATTATTATCGCAATCAAAACTAAGCGCTAAACCTACAAGGGTCATACAGCTCTGCCAGGTTAATACACGATTCGCTCACTTGAATTCATTAAGATTCATTAAGAGTTTTAATATTCTCCATTATTCTTTGAGTTTAGACTTAAAATTAAATGTTTGATTTTTAGCCACTGGCGTTTAACAATTTCTTTATATTTTGTTTACTGAAATCACACAGTATTTAAGGAATCAAAGATAAAACTATAACAGAATATTTCGGTTTTATAAACCTGAATAATATGGAAAAGCCTCATAGTGAAGAACATAGCCTACTGCAATTAACTCATTGTTCTGTCAATTTTTTAATCTGTTCAGGATTTTCCCCCACCAGGGCCTTTAACTTGTCTGTTGAGCTCATATCGCGTCTAAATAATTACGTAACTACCAAATATATATTGTTATGCCATTTTCAATAATAAATCGGGAGGCAAAGTCTGAAAATGGGGTAAACTAGGTCACGAGTTGGTGTTTATTGCGCATTCTGTCTGGCAACCTGTCTGAAATTACCATTTGTCTACCACCCGGATCGTTATATTTATGAGAAAGTGCTCAACCAGTTGGGGGAATGTTAGGCAATCAGGTCTCGACCGAGGAAGGGGAAGGTCGCTCCAATTCCTTGGATCAAAAGCTTTTTCACCCGTATCAAGGTACCTCTCGTAAAATCAAAATGTAATGGAATAACGGAGACGGGAGATAATGGAATTAGGGATGATGGAGGGAGAGGCACTGGGGGGGGGGAGAGAAATGAGACACTGAGGGTGTGAGAGGCAATAGGGTGTGCGAAAGACAGTAATGTGAGGTAGTGAGAGACACTGGGCTGAGAGAGTGAGACACAAGCGTAAGTCAGTGAGACATTGGGGTGAGGCAGTAAGAGACGCAGGGGTGAGGAAGTAAGAGACGCTGGGGTATGGGAGAAGCAAGATAACTCACCTGCGACAGAGATTGGGAGACAGAAGCACTGAAGAGACCGGGATGTTTGTGTTTGGCCTCCTGACCCTCTACCTCTCGCAGTACTGTGAGGGAGAGAGATGTGCAGGTTACTTTGCTAGCATGAACCACACACCCAGTCCATGGTTGGTGATACAGTCACACCACTCAGTCCATGGTGATAGTCACAACACCCAGCCCATTACTGCTGATAAAGTCACCACACCCAGTCCATAACTGGTTATACACCACACCCAGCCCATGGCTACTGATATACAAGTCACCACACCCAGTCCACGGTTGATGATACAGTCATCACACCCAGCCCATATCTGATGATATAGTCACCACACCTAGCCCGTGGCTGGTAATATACTGACCACCACACCCAGCCCATGGCTGATGATATAGTCACCATATCCAGCTCATGGCTGGTGATATACTAGTCACCATACCCAGCCCATAGTTGGTGATGCAGTCACCACACCCAGGTCAAGGCTGGTGACATAGTCACCACACCCAGCCCATGGCTGGTGATCTAGTCATCACACCCAGAGCATCGCTGGTGATGCAGTCACCACATCGAGCCCATGGCTGGTGATATACTCACCACACTCAGTCCATGGCTGGTGATGCAGTCACCACACCCAGCCCATGGCTGGTGATATAGTCACCACACCCAACCCATGCCTGGTGATGCAGTCACCACACCCAGCCCATGGCTGGTGATATAGTCACCACACCCCGCCCATGGCTGGTGACATAGTCAACACACCCAGCCCATAGCTGGTGATACAGTCACCACACCCAGCTCATAGCTGGTGATATAGTCACCACACCTAGCCCATGGGTGGTGATATATTCACCACACCCAGCCCATGGCTGGAGATATACTAGTCACAACACCCAGACAATGGCTGGTGATACAGTCAACCCACCCAGCCCATGCTGGTGATGCAGTCACCACACCCAGCCCATGCCTGGAGATATTTTCACCACACCCAGCTCGTGGCTAGTGACATAGTCACCACACTCAGCCCATGGCTGGTGATATACTAGGCACCACACCCAGCCCATGGCTGGTGATGTAGTCACTACATCCAGCTCATGGCTGGTGATACATTCACCACACCCAGCCCATGGTTGGTGATAGTCATCACACCCAGCCCATGGCTGGTGATACAGTTACCACACCCAGCCCATGGCTGGTGATATAGACACCACACCCAGCCTATGGCTGGTGATATACTAGCCACTACACCCAGCCCATGGCTGGTGATATAGACACCACACCCAGCCCATGGCTGGTGATATAGACACCACACCCAGCCTATGGCTGGTGATATACTAGCCACTACACCCAGCCCATGGCTGGTGATGCAGTCACCACACCCAGCCAATGGCTGGTGATAATCACCATACCCAGCCCATTGCTGTTGATATACTAGTCACCACACCCAGTCCATGACTGGTGATATAGTCACCACACCCAGCTCATGGCTGGTGATACTGTCACCGCACCCAGCCCATGGCTGGTGATATAGTGTCCACACCCAGCCTATGGCTGGTGATGCAGTCACCACACCCAGCCCATGACTGGTGATATAGTCACCACACCCAGCCCATGGCTGGTGATATACTAGTCACCACACCCAGCTCATGGCTGGTGATACTGTCACCGCACCCAGCCCATGACTGGTGATATAGTCACCACACCCAGCCCATGGCTTGTGATATACTAGTCACCACACCCAGCCCATGACTGGTGATATAGTCACCACACCCAGCCCATGGCTGGTGATATACTAGTCACCACACCCAGCCCATGACTGGTGATATAGTCACCACACCCAGCCCATGGCTTGTGATATACTAGTCACCACACCCAGCGCATGGCTGGTGATATAGTCACCACACCCAGCGCATGGCTGGTGATATACTAGTCACCACACCCAGCCCATGGCTGGTGATATACTAGTCACCACACCCAGCCCATGACTGGTGATATAGTCACCACACACAGCTCATTGCTGGTGATATACTAGTAACCACACCCAGCCCATGGCTAGTGATGTAGTTACCATACCCAGCCCATGGTTGGTGATATAGTCACCACACCCGGCACATGGCTGGTGACATACTAGTCACCACACCCAGCCCATGGCTGGTGATATACTACTCACCACACCCAGCCCATGGCTGGTGATATACTACTCACCACACCCAGCCCATGGCTGGTGATATACTACTCACCACACCAAGCCCAAGGCTGGTGATATACTACTCACCACAACCAGCCCATGGCTAGTGATATACTAGTCACCACACCCAGCCTATGGCTGGTGATGCAGTCAGTACATCCAGCCCATGGCTGGTGATGCAGTCACAACACCCAGCACATGGCTGGTGATATAGACACCACACCCAGCCTATGGCTGGTGATATACTAGTCACTACACCCAGCCCATGGCTGGTGATATAGTTACCACACCCAACCCATGGTTGGTGATATACTAGTCACCACACCCAGCCCATGGCTGGTGATGCAATCACTACATCCAGCCCATTGCTGGTGATACATTCACCACACCCAGCCCATGGCTGGTGATAATCACATCCAGCCCATGGCTGGTGATAGACACCACACCCAGTCTATGGCTGGTGATATACTAGTCACTACACCCAGCCTATAGCTGGTGATATACAAGTCACTACACCCAGCCCATGACTGGTTATATACTAGTAACCACACCTAGTCCATGGCAAGTGATGCAGTCACCACAGCCAACCCATGGCTGGTGATATAGTCACCACACTCAGCCCACAGCTTGTGATATAGTCACCACACCCAGTCAATGGCTGGTGATATAGTCACCACACCCAGTTCATGGCTGGTGATAGTCACCACACCCAGCCCATGGCTGGTGACATACTAGTCACCACACCCAGCCCATGGCTGGTGACAGTCACCACACCCAGCCCATGGTTGGTGATATAGTCACCACACCCAGCCCATGGCTGGTGATATACTAGTCACCACACCCAGCCCAAGGCTGGTGATATAGTCACCACACCCAGCTCATGGCTGGTGATATACTAGTCACCACACCCAGCCCATGGTTAGTGATATACTAGTCACCACATCCAGCCCATGGCTGATGATATACTAGTCACCACTCCCAGCCTATGGCTGGTGATGCAGTCACCACACCCAGCCCATTGCTTGTGATATACTAGTCACCACACCCAGCCCATGGCTGGTGATATAGTCAACACCCTCAACCCATGGCTGGTGATATAGTCACCACACCCAGCCTATGGCTTGTGATATACTAGTCACCACACCCAGCCTATGGCTGATGATGCAGTCATCACACCCAGCCCATGGCTGGAAATATACTAGTCAACACACCCAGCCCATAGCTGGTGATATAGTCACCACACCCAATCCATGGCTGGTGATATAGTCACCACACCCAATCCATGGCTGGTGATATAGTCACCACACCCAGCCCATGCCTGGTGATGCAGTCACCACACCCAGCTCATTGCTGGTGATATAGTCACCACAACCCGCCCATTGCTGGTGATATAGTCACCACACCCAGACCATGGCTGGTGATGCAGTTACCACATCCAGCCCATAACTGGTGATATAGTCACCACACCCAGCCCATGGCTGGTGATATAGTCACCACACCCAGCTCATAGCTGGTGATATAGTCACCACACCTAGCCCATGGCTGGTGATAGTCACCACACCCAGCCCATGGCTGGTGATATAGTAGTCACCACACCCAGACAATGGCTGGTGATGCAATCACCACACTCAGCCCATGGCTTGTGATATACTAGACACCACACCCAGCCCATGGCTGGTGATGTAGTCACTACATCCAGCCCATGGCTGGTGATATATTAGTAACTTCACCTAGTCCATGGCAGGTGATGCAGTCACCACAGCCAGCCCATAGCTGGTGATATAATCACCACGCCCAGTCCATGGCTGGTGATAGTTACCATACCCAGCCCATAGCTGTTGATATACTAGTCACCACACCCAGTCTATGGCTGGTGATAGTCACCACACCCAGCCCATGGCTGGTGGCAGTCACCACACCCAGCCCATGGTTGGTGATATAGTCACCACACCCAGCCCATGGCTGGTGGCAGTCACCACACCCAGCCCATGGTTGGTGATATAGTCACCACACCCAGCCCATGGCTGCTGATAGTCACCACACACAGCCCATGGCTGGTGATACAGTCACCACACCCAGTCCATGGCAGGCTCTGGTGGCCTGGTGGTTAACGCTCTCGCTTCACACGGTGAGGGCCTGGGTTCGATTCCCAGCCAGAGTAGAAACATTGGACGTGTTTCTTTCCACCTGTTGTCTATGTTCCCCATCAGTAAATTGGGTACCTGGTGTGTAGTCGAACTAGTGTGGGTCTGCATCCTGGGACACTGACCTAAGGAGGCCTGGTCACAGACCGGGCCGCGGGGGCGTTGACCCCCGGAACTCTCTCCAGATAAACTCCAGATGGTTGGTGACAGTCACCACACCCAGCCCATGGTTGGTGATATAGTCATCACACCCAGCAGATGGCTGGTGATATAGTCAACACACCCAGTCCATGGCTGATGATATACTAGTCACCACACCCAGCCTATGGCTGGTGATGCAGTCACCACACCCAGCCCATTGCTTGTGATATACTAGTCACCACACCCAGCCCATGGCTGGTGATATAGTCAACACCCTCAACCCATGGCTGGTGATATAGTCACCACACCCAGCCCATGACTGGTGATATACTAGTCACCACACCCAGCCCATGGCTAGTGATATACTAGTCACCACACCCAGCCCATGACTGGTGATATAGTCAACACCCTCAACCCATGGCTGGTGATATAGTCACCACACCCAGCCCATGACTGGTGATGCAGTCACGACATCACAAGTTTTAGCAGAGGCCACTAACCCAGGACTGCGGATCTCGTGCTACTTCCAGGTGCCTCTGTCACTCTATTAGGAAAATAAATGGTGTGCCTCTGTCAATCTATTAGGAAAATAAATGGTGT